GGGGATGGGGACTTCGATCCGTCAAGCTTCATCCCGAGCTACACGCGCACGGACAAGGGTAAGGCGGGAGACAGAGGGAGAGATGCAATGGAACCAACAGCTGTGTCTTCAGAAGGCATTGCTTAGTAGTACACCCAGCTGCTCTCACACCCTGTTTCGGCGGTACGATTTGTGTGTTTGGGGGGGTACATGTATAATCGCAATCCGCCATCTGTCTTCAACGTAAAGATTGAAATTTCCGTGAGCGTGGAGCGTGCAACAAGCAAGGCGTCGTGGTTGTCTGTCTTCTGTGAGCATGCGCAGGCAGGCTCAATCAACCCGTTCCCACTCTCCCTGCAACCTAGCCGTTGTGGCTTGTAACTGCAACCTCCTCTCGAGCAATTATTCGCATTGTTTTTGATGCAAGCCAAAGTATTGGAATAGAAACAGAAACGGATATATATATATAATATGTTCGGACGTCAGCACATGGATGTTACGACTGAGAGAGAGAGACGAAGCAGATATGCGGTAGGCAATGAGGGCGTGGTAGAGGAAAGGAGACACGTCAACCATGTTTTGCGATCGATCGCCATCGCACATAGCCAATGCTGTTGTTACCACGATGGACGGGAGTTTATGCTGCAGGCCTTGATCCTTGACTCTTCTTGCGTGATAAAAACTGTGAGAGTAATAAATAAATGCGACGGCATTTCCGCCCGGGCTTGCGTGCATGCAGCCTTGGCGCTCTTCAGGTTGGTAGTCGGGTGCTGCTTCATCGTGCTCGGGAGCTATGCGTTGGTTCGCTTCTACCGATCAAGATGGATATTGGACATTCGCACGAGGTAGGCCTTGCTTGGTGTATCGAAGTCGAGTGGTTACTCACAATCACCTGTGTTTTGTTTGATCTCTCAGAGAGAGCGTCAACCTGGTTGACCAATCCTGCCTGGTTCGACGTCGAGCAGTCGAGCACAGCTCACGGAGGTGGTGGAAACACGCCTCCAGCACACACTAATTCGGCGGGGCAGCAGGGCCGCCGGCAGAACCCCTCCATAGGGACTTCCGGGCGGGACATGAATGAGCCGCATGCACGCATCAGCCGCGGCACACCTGTCCGACTTCTTTCTGTCTCGTCAGCCACTCAGCGGGGGTGTTTCACAACTTTATTCCCCTTTCGATGCAAGGCGGGTCAGCCGACGACGGTTGGATGGATTTTTCGGGGGCTGCCCGAAAACGGCCTCCACGGCTCATCCCTGAGCAAGGAAAAACCTCGAATTGCTTGCCTGGGGGCAAAGAATAGGCGGATCCCAGAACACCCGCATCCCCGAAGCCCCCGACGACTCTCTCTCTCCCATATTGTTTCACTCCTGCCTGGACAACTGGAGAGTACATTCCACTCGAATCGAACAAACTGCGGGACGGACACACTTGCGTAGACCAATTGCGATGTAGAGCGTACCGTCGCCGAGAGTTTGCTTTTTCTTTGCTCCTGCTATCGCCCTGAGGTTCTGCTTTTACGCCCGCAAGAAAGAGTGAATCATGAAAGAAAGTGTTCTCATCTAGATTACAGCAGCTTCAGCCAGTGTTGGATATTGGTCGGGCAGAAGGGTTCGAATCAATACGCCAATCGTATCGAGAAAAAAACACAAATACCGATATTTTGTTCGATATCCCGAAAATGGCTCGATACGTATCGAGTATCGATACTCGATATCGATACGTCTGTTTTGAAGGCCTCACGTTACAAGAAGAGCGAGCGTTACGCAACTACACGTACCCTGGCACACCCGAACCCTTATCTGAAGTATACAGCAGTGCGCAAGACGTGCGCGCATGGTCCGGCGGCATGGAAGTAGTGGTGTTTGCCAGGTGCCAGGTGTGTGCAGTTAGTTAGTTGAACATCACGAGCACAACAACAACAGCGGGCACACGTTGTGATGTGATGTTGCGCATACAAAACTGCATCGTGCAAGAGGCAGGAGTTGGTTGTGTAGCTGTGTCCACCAGATATATTTTACATTTTACAGTCAGTGTGCATGTGTGTATACACGTACACACTATAACACCGCCGTACGGTTGCGATCGAATCAGTGCAAGCTCGGCTGCGAGCAGGATTTCATGACAAAAAAGCGCGAAAAAAACTCGAACACTTGGTTTTATATTATCTTACTACCTTCAAAGTTATGCATGCAAAATTCCACCCACCAGTTGTGGGTGCCCAACAATCAGCAATGCACCTCGAGCGAGTATCACCTCTAGAAAAACCAACAGCCAAAAGGAAACAAAAGAAAAAACATGGCGAAAACATTATGTGCGAAAATCAAACGCTTGCCAAACTTGAACACGACGACATCACCTACCTCTATTCATCACACGCCCAACCAAGTGGTCGGACATGAAATCAAGCACACCTTGCCGTTACGTATTACAAGTCCCAAAACCAAGTTCACACAGCATAAATTGTCCGCAGGAGGTACGGCCTCTGTTCGCACTAATGTAGTAGTTCTACTGCTGAAACTGCGGGAAACGCCAAATCTACGTAAGGAGGCAAGCTGACTCTAAAATAACGGGGATGACTGCTACTACTCATTCGGCAGAGGCAGCGCTATCGCCGGCGACAAAGCCGAATTCTTGAAGGCTCATGTTGCACACCGATGTGGTTCTCAGGAGCTGAGACACAGGCGCTGTTGGTGTGGTGTGTGGCTGGCAGGGGCTGGTGTGTGTGTGGTGTGTGGTTGTGATGGCAGTGGGGGGCGACAGGAGTAGGCGCGTAGGCGCCTCCGGGGAGCGAAAAAAGGGGGTAGACAGCTGGGAAACTGACCCCCCCCCGGTAAAAAGGGGGCCAAAATATTGAGTATCGAATACCGATATCGATACCGATACCGATTCATATCGACAAATATCGGCGTGGAAACCGGCAATACCGATACTACTGCGTATCGGCGATATATATCAGTTTTGTATCGATATTCGATACCCAATATCCAACACTGGCTTCAGCTTTTGCCCACACTCCCTTCGGTGGAACTAATAATAATAATCAGATTTCCGACATCATTGCCCTGTACATGTGGGTTGGATAGGTGCTAGGTTAGCATTGATGAGACAAATCTAGGTTGTCACTGCATTGGTGGGTGCGAGGTTGTCACTGCGTGGGTAGGTGCTAGGTTGGTGTGCTTGGAGCAGGGCTAGGTCTTGGGTGGGGCTAGGTCGCTCTTGGGCGGTAAACGGTTCTGGTGTAGGTCTGTATGTGGGTGGGAACAGCCAAGTGTGGATGCAATGGCTTTTATGTGTGTCCCCGTGAGTGCATCGAATATTTTTACATGAATATCATACAAGTGCCTCCGGGTTTGGCGGAGGATCGTTCACGTGTTTTTTTGTTCGCATGAGACGCCTCACGATATTTTCCACAACCGTGGACTTTACTGCGTGAGTCCCATGAAAGAGAGTCTCGTGAGACAGACGTGTCTCGTGAGGCGTCTCATGAGACCGAGCGCATCCAGATAACGCCCGCAGTTAAGAAAACATCTTTTAAGAAAAACAGGCTCAAGTTATTACGAAAGATAAAAAAAAACGGACTAAGAAACACAGCTCAATCTCGGCCACAACATAAGAAATGTCCCACTAAGAAACATGATGGTGCGATACACTCAAGACGTAAGAAACAAGGGGTAGCAGGGGGGGCGTGTTCAGTAAGAAACGTCCCACAGCTGCTCCTTCGGTGCTCTCCCACCCCCCTACCTAGCTGAACAGTGCAGTTTTTTTTTTAAGGGGGGAGAGGGAGGGGTTTCTTCCGCGGCGCCCCCCGCGCCCCTGCTGCTCACTGTGCTGTACTGTAGTACTACCACACATCGCGGACAACCACGCGCTGTCCGCTGTGTACGGGTATGATGGCACTCTCCACCGCCTCTCGTGAGGACGTGAAGAAGTGGATTGTCCTCGGATATCAAAAGGCAGAAAAAAATAAATACGTAAGAAATACTTCTAAGAAATAAGAGAATCAGGAGGATTCGACAGTCCAAAGGAATACGAAATGTCTTTTAAGAAATGGACGACTTCCGGCTGATGCTTCCAAAACACGGGATTGATGCTCGACCCCATTTTGACGCTTCTTAACTGCGGGCGCTATCTGTATCTCATGAGACATCTTATGAGACGTTTCACGAGACTCTCATGATGAGACTCGAACGACACAAAAAGTTGTTGAATTTTTTTGCGATACTTGTTCGAAGTACATAGACTTAACTGTAACTACGTCTCAGCCCTGAGATGTAAGAGTTCAACCATTATTGCCCTCATTACAGCGCGCGTGGTGAACGTGGGGAATGTTTGATATGGACGGTGTGTGATCCGCTCCTCAACACGGCCAACGAAACTGTCGATGTTTGACGGAGGGAAAACACGCGTGTGAAGGATTGATATCACTTCAGTACCCGCCTATAGGCTGCTGATTGTCCTTGCCCGCTTCTTCTTCTTCTGGTAAAACCGAGAGTCGATGTTTTTGAACGACACTCATCTCTTAGAAACGCGTGCATGTACAGAGTAACGCCTTGCCGCCGAAGTCCTACACGTGAGCCGACTCCGAGACGAGGGTGTCACCCTTCGTTCGATTCGGCAACGTATTTCGGCGCACCCGCTTGCAGAAACGCCTGCGTTTGCTCAGTGAACTTCCACGCGGTCTCCGTGTTCGGTGGCGTCTACGCGGCGATCGTTTCTAATCACGAGGGTTAAATATTCAAACTTGATGCCCCCCCCTCCCCCCACCTCACAATGTAGGAAGGTACGATTGGCCATCGGCGATCGCTCCTGTGGGAACGATGGTCCGTCCTCTCGAAGACGCGTGGTCAATGGTCTAACGACCAAGGCATGCAAGACATGAGTACGCCCCCGCCCCGTGCTAACGGTTTGTGCACATGCATGTAAGGGAGAGCTCAACCAAGACCTAGGGCGAAACCCCTATAAAATCCCTACATTTTAGTTCGTTTCCTTACTTTCCTGCAAACATCTGTCTCGCCTATCGCATGAACAGGTCTGCGCATCTGGTCATGGTCGAAGGCGTGTGCGTGCTCCTGACGATGGTGGTCGCCGTCAACGGTTCCATTAACGTCGTTTGGGACAGCGGGCTCGACTGGTTTTGGATGTCTCTGCTGCTCTTTTTCATCTCGCCAGCGCTGAAGGGGAGCTACATCTGCCGCGCGCTCCGCCTGGCCGTGGTTTTCCACCCGAGGGCGAAGCGTGCCCTACCGTGGCTCATCCCGGTACTGCGGTATCTTTTTCTTTTTGGCGTCGTTCGATCAAATAGTTTATGCGTCTCTTAGCGGGTTTTCGTAAGAGGACGTGTTGTGATCCACGACAGCGCATGTATGTGTGGTATCTCCTCTGCAGAGGACGCAGGCGTCTCATTCGTGTACTTCCCTCTCCAATCAGAACAATGTTGCGTTGCTGTTGCTCTGTTTACTATCTTGCCTGCGTCGTTCCTCCACCCAATCCCGGTCGAATCACTCGGTTAGCATCGGCAACATAAGCCGCTCACAAACCGAGATAGCGCCCCCTCTCTGGCCAGGGTCTCGGGGCGGTTTTCTTGAACCGCTCCTCCTCTTTCCTGCCAGCGTGCACCGCTCCTCCTCTTACATTCTGCTTGCGATGTATTTTGTGTCTCTGCCGTGCCCCTATACGTGTTTCCTCTACCCTCGGGACGACAGGAGCGCAACTACATGGTGGTGCTGCTGGTAGTAAGCGTGGGAATGATGGCAATCCCCATCTATCAGGAGTACACGTTGGAGGTTTGGTGAGACCGAGTACAATACAAACGGGAAAATCCCTCCCATCATGCTGCCACAGATGGCGTTGCACACGTAAGAATGATAACTCAATCCATGCCGCAACCAACTCTAGAGGTTAACGATGTGACAACGCGACGGGCTTCATGATCTGTTTTGTAAATGGGCACTGCGTATGCCTCGCGATGTCCGGCTGGCGTTGTAGTCAACCATCTGCCCTTTTTTTCTACCCAATGTGGCGTTGACAACGTAGCCCATGGTTCGGGTCTTTGCTTTCTCGTGGCGGCTCCCCCATCCCTGCACGCCCAGGGAGATCATTCCGAAACAGACCACTATTCTCACGACAGAGGCCCTGGTGTTCGCGGTGACGCTGGCCTGCATTTATCCCTTCATCCGGAACGTTGACGATCTATTCAACATCAGCAAGGAGCTCTTATTGGTTACCGTGGCGATCGTGTGCCTTGCAGGTGAGACCACACGGAAGCCGACGCGCACAACCTCCTGTGCGGTAGCATCCACCGAAGTACCGTGTTTTGTGTGGACTAGCCGCAGGTCAACACGTTTGGTTCGTATGTGGCACTGCTGTGCGTGTTTCGACGTGACCTTCCTGGCGAGACTTAACCTATTGACATGCCGTGAGTTCTCCGACATGGGCAATGCTCAGACGAGAATAGTGTTAGCAGCAGCCATCTACCACTCTCTGACGCGTGTGCATTCCCTTACTCTTCGCTTGCTATTCTGTCCTCGTCGCAACTGCCGAGATGATGTCGCTGCTTTTGCGTGTAATCGTCGCCCCCTCCTCTGTTGTCTTTTTCTCGATACGTACCACACCAGTCGTGCAGAAGGCCGCCGCGGAGTGGGGAGGGGTGTACGAGCAGAGATGGGTTGGAAACAACATTTCTATCTTTATCGCTGCTGTTCTCTTTGGCATCAGGTGCGTCTGTTCGTCATCCATCTCTCAGGGAAAGAGCTGTCTTGAGTTGATCAGATAGACGGGTTTTGACTAGTTGAACGCGTGGGCGGAAGATTCGGTAGTGTGACGGGGCCCGTGTGTCTGAATTAATTCGGTTTATAGGTTTTGGGGGGTATGTTTTGATATTTCTCCATTCGTTGGCTTTGCTCTCTTTGATTTTAATAAGCGGCCTTCGGGTGGGAACCACGAATAGTTGATGTCGGATGTCTCCCGACAGCTAGCGTAAAGTCGAGCGTGACTACTCAACGCGCGACTTGAATGTTGTCGTATATGGTGACCTCTTGCTCTTCGACGCCTGGGTGACCGTAAGACGAAACGTACGGTAAACCACGCAAACAATGATATCGTTTTACCAAACGTTGTTCCTCATGCAACGTTGTGATAAGCAGTATCGTGGACCCGCTGCGACGCCTAGCGATGGATCCTTTGGCAGCAACAAAGCGCAACTACGCCGATCGGGTACTGCTAAGCCGCACGGCACCCGACAGGTGAGCGACAGAGCATGAATGGCGGGAAACCACAAGTAGCAAGAGGAGAAGCAGGGGCACGGACACCGGCCCCCTGCGCGGCTGAGCAACGCTCTTTTCGTAGGTCTGCGGATAGGACCGGCCGGTGTTTCTCTTTGTCTGGTGTGTCGAGTAGTTCGGAAGAAGTTCTCGTGTTGTGGGTATCATAGATTTGCCGTGAACATTCCGACGTATCTTCCTCTGGTCTTGCCGACTCAGAGCTGAAGGTTTGAGAACCCCGTACCAGTACGTGGCCCGAGGTGGGTAAAGCACGTAGATGTACGCGTTTGTGAAGGTAGAGGGAAAGCTTGATCGAGAATGGTGGTTCTACGAGGAGACAAGCGGTGTCCCATAGGAGCTAGTGCCCTGAGAAGGTTGATGTAAACGCCATCACAGGGGAATGGACGGAGGCTATGATCATCCGATGGATACAGAAGAGGTGGTGTAATCATCGACATCAATATCGTTGCCAACACCACAGAGCTTATAGCAGATTTCCGGATGGTGGACGTCTCTCGGTTGTGTTGGTATGAACGGTTCACCGCCTCAAATGCAATGCGCTGACAATATCCCAACATTCAAACGCCAGCAGAGCATGAGCCCCCCCCCCTCTCTCTCACGAAATCGCTACAGCACGGTGAGAACAGCGTCAGGGGTTTCGTCAGGAAGAAGCCGTGACCCCTCAAGGATACGTGCCAACAGCGAAGAGGAAGCCAGGCTCGAGGAAGGAGATCTTGGAGGAGTCCTGGACAAGGACGAAACAACAACGGCGGGTGACGTTAGCAACGTCGTCGCCTCGGCCGTCGTTGGTAACGGTGTGATTACCACATCCACCGCCGACACCAACGATGCTGTTGCTGCCGGTACGTGGAACGAGCGGGAACCAATCAATACCTCCGTCTTTACGAAGCAATCGTCATCCGTATCCAACGACACAAGCATCGGCGGCAACAGACGCGACGTCGTCCAGAGGGGGCCGAGGGAGAGGGCTTTCTTCCGTGGCCGCCGTGGTGGTGGTGGCGGTCGAGGCCGTCCGGAAAGAGAGGAGATGGAGGTGTGGAACTTCGAACGGCTTGCGAGGACGCCGCTGCTAGCCGTCGCGTTCGAGGACTATTCCAAGAGGGCGCTTTGCCACGAGTCGGTGCTCTTTCTGACCGAGGTTTCTCGGTAAGTAACGCCGGGGGGGAGAGGGACACAGAGAAGCAGACACGCAATGGTCCCTCTGTAGTGCTGGTTGAATGGTACCAGTGCCCGGGTAGTGCTGGTGTTCCGGCAGGCACATGCCGGCGCTGTTCAAGGACCACTACTGTATCTTACGCGAAGTTCAAGGATGATGCGGTGGCATGAATGGTGTTCTGCGCATACTGTTCCTTCCCCCTCTTACCCTCGCCGGTGTTTGCCATGGGGGTTGGGTTTTCGTCGCTTGGCAACGACGTTGTAAACAAAGCCCCCCCCCCTCGGTGTTTGCCATCGGGATTGGGTTTTCGTCGCTTGGCAACGACGTTGTAAAACAATCCAATGCACTTCGTGAACTCGGCAACCAGGTTACCTTTTCTATTACCTCTGTTTTTTTTTTGGGCGGTAACCATAATGGTGGTCGAGTAGATCATGTTGTGCGGGGTGGAGAACCCTCACTCCGGGCAAGGGGGGATGATCGCACCACGTTGTGTTAAAATGGTCAAGCGTCCTCGAGGCAGTTACACCGTGCTTTAACTGTCTCTGGAAGTGAAAGCACCAGAAAGTAAATTGAGTCATACGCAGCTGTCATCCGTACGCAAGGAAATAAGCACAAGATGCCAAACACCCTTAGCAGGATGCAGCGCACTCTTCATGCGACTCGCCGAATACCTCACGGCGCTTCGCGCTTGGTGATGTGAGAGCCTGGGCCGGTGAGAACCCGGCGTGCTCCCTCCCGGCTTTGTCGGGATGCGAGGTGAATGGTCTAACGAATACCGCATGCACGACTGTGAGTACCCCCCCCCCCCCCC